TTGTCACTAAATAACTATATCAGCAAAAAGTCTTAATTTTAGTGATTCTTATCTGCTTGATGGTAGTAGTAACCTTTTCATGAAAGTCCTCTTTCATTTCCTTGTGCTGAAATCTCACCGACACCACTGCTTCGAAACTCCACGCGCGGAAAGTTTTCAAAACACAGAATAGTGCGGAGTTTATCCGCAGGGTCAACCCTGCGTTGCGCAAATTCTAAAATTTTTACGACCCCCTTCCTTTTCGGGGGTGTCGGTACGATCCCCCCCATATTAACTATCATGTCTTTCACATAATTTATTGCTCATCAATGCTCATCAATTATGGCAGTCACCAACATGGAGAAGTGGTGGACCGTCGTCAATCCGCGCGCTTTGTCTCGCTCAGAGGAGTGAATCGAGGCAAATGAAGTTTTATTCATTAGATAGAAGCAATTTCCAAATTTTTGCGTAAACCAATACATCATTTTATTCGTAAAGATTTCTACTTTCAGAAACACACCAGGATTTTTTCGATCTCTCAACTGTCCTTACCTTATAATCTGAAAAACTAAACCTTGTATCAATAACATTGCAATCCAAACCCCTCCATTCAGAAGCTTATATTTTCTTTCAGAAGCTGTTTCATGAAATCGACAAAAATTTCGAAAGTATAAATAGTTTTCTTCCTGAGGAGTATTTGAAATGTTGTGGATGTTCAATAAAAAAATCGTCCCGTTGTTCCGTTTTCTGTGCACACGCGAGTTTTTGACATTCAAACATTCATACCTTTCTTCATAATCAACTTTTTGCAAATGTCTAAGGCTAATTAGAAACTAGAAGATTAGAGCTTTCGAACAAGCACCTGAAAATTTTCCAGCGATCTTTTTTTCAAAAAATAGTCCCGTTGTTCCGTTTTCTGTGCACACGCGAGTTTTTGACATTCAAACATTCATACCTTTCTTCATAATCAACTTTTTGCAAATGTCTAAGGCTAATTAGAAACTAGAAGATTAGAGCTTTCGAACAAGCGCCTGAAAATTTTCCAACGATTATTTTTTCAAAAAATAGTCCCGTTGTTCCGTTTATGAGTGGTTTGGGGTCCGATTTTTGAGAAGGCGCGAGTTTTCGACACTAAACGTTAATAACTTTCTTCATACTCAACATTTTGCAGATGTCGAAGGCTAATCAGAAACTAGGGGATTAGAGCTTCCGAATAAGTGCTTAAACTTCTTGAAATAATCACTCGCTCAAAAAATCGTCCCGTTGTTCCGTTTTCTGTGCACACGCGAGTTTTTGACATCCAAACATTCATAACTTTCTTCATAGTCAACGTTTTGCAGATGTCGAAGGCTAGTCAGAAACTAGGGGATTAGAGCTTCCGAATAAGTGCTTAAACTTCTTGAAATAATCACTCGCTCAAAAAATAGTCCCGTTGTTCCGTTTATTCCACCTTGATTTTTTTCAAGCCATTTCCCTCGACCGCTACTATGCTGTCTTTAAAGGCCCATAACTTCCTTTAAAATTAGTGTGATGAGAAGCGTTAAAGATTGTTGGAATCCACTCGAAGTGTACTTCATAACAACTGTAAAACTTTCCTGAAATTTTTTCTTCTGCCTCAATTTTCCTACGGCGTCTCTAGAACTCAATTCAGCAAATTCGCTACACTTTGTTTCGCTTAGATTTTATATGAAAGCATCGAAACTCTCTTCAGAAAGTTTGTCTGCTTACGGCTGCTGACAGTGGAGGCGTTTTTACGGGAAAACGCCTCGGGTATACGCCTGCACCTATCTGTGGGCAGAGTTCGCACTCGCATTTTGAAGTCTTCTGTTTTCCTGAAGAAGGTGTTAGTATCCTGATTGAGTTGCATTGTGCTGTTATATGGCACTATTGTTTCACTTTCCCATGAACTGCTCTACACTTTGTTCTCCTCGGGATTTCAGGAATGTTTCATCATCGAAGACAGTCCATGTTTTTGCATTACACTGTAACAAAGTTTTTGGCTATTGTCTATTGTACTCTTGATCTATGCCGCGGAGCAAAAGCGCAGTCCGGATAGCGTCGCTTAAGGATAATAAGCTGATGGTGAGACTTATAGTGCTCTGCATGCTCTAATGCTCCCATGGAGCTCATGTCTGTTTGACTCTCCGGCAGAGCTCCTGGAGAACACTAGAGGGTGAAAGTGCACTTCCGGACACTGCAGAGCACTATAAACTTTTCAAGCCGTCTTGCCCGTCTGTGGATACGACCCCCTGCCCTTTTCGGTCGGCGCTCGAATACGACCCCCTCCCTGTTCTTTGCGCAACGCAGGGTTGACCCTGTTTATCCGCAATCTACACGCGTTTTGACGTGTTAAGTTCTACTACAGATCCCGCGTAGCCTCATCACGTCAGAATCCCCGCGCATCCCGCCGCGCAACTCGCCGCGTGCCAGCGCGGACGAGCCAAAAGTCCCTCACCCAGTAGTCTCTCCTTTTAACACAAGGAGAATGATGGGCTGCTACACATTGCATCAGACTGCTTCTTCATTCAGTTTAGTAATATCGATAATCTGTTGCTCATTCTCGAGAATAGTGCTCAATATCATTTTCTCCCAAGATCACAGCTCGTATAGATCTCATTGTTTTGGATTAATACTGAACAGCGCCTCTGCTTATTCCGGATTTATTTCAAGGATCTGCTCGTTCCTACAGCTAACGAGAACAAAGCCTCTCCGTAGCCAGTCTACTGACCTCGACGGCTGGTTTCGTCTCTCGCAGATGCGGCTTCTCTTCATGTCACTTGGAAAAACGCCGTGGTACGTGTTTATTGTGTGTGTTCGCCTAATTAAAAATGCATGTGCGAACTTTCATGTGAGGATTCCCCCACTTCAACGTTTCTTACTAGTAAACTTTCAGATCGTGTGAGCGGAAGAGATGGGCGTCAGGGAACTGACACCATCACAACAAGTAAGTTCAAGTAACTGTTCATGAATTTGAAATTCCATTCGATTAGGTATGTATGGTTCATTCCGAGGGAATTTCAAGAGCTACCTAAAGGAGGAATTCACGATTAAAACGAAGGTCGAAGAAAGGGAAACTGACCTAATTAAGGGACCTACGGACCTCCTGAGGGTGCGAATGCGACGCGCAATTCGTATGGAAAAATTTGACCCCGGCGACCTATCATGCCTCAAAGCTGGCGGGTCCGGCGATCTCCGCCCACCTATCATCTGATCACTCGCCGTAGTTCAATACGTGGCGAGTGATTAGATAGCTGAGAGAGCGTAGTGTAGAAGAGGGCACAGCGATGAGAGTCGCATCAATGCTCGAATCAACGGGCAAGGAAGGGGTACCATTTCTCGGGTTCTCGGCCGTTTCTCATGGTTCTTCCTTCTTTCGTGTACCACTCACCATCCCTAGGTTACTTTGAAATGGGTTGCTTTTTCATCGTGAATTCGTCCTTTAAAGCGCTTTCAGTTCCAGTTTTCCCTGCATTTGTTTTCCGATTGCCAGTAACGAGTACTTCAAAACGTCAACAAGAATTGTGTCCTTGTATGGCCTTATTGGCGCGCCACCCTTTGATGCACTTCTTTGTACTCTTCAATGATACTCCGTTTGAATCGACCTTTCACCTAAGCCCTGCCGAAGTTGCCGCCTATTCGCAAAACCAGAGCAACTTGAGTCAGTATACCGAGGGATATGTGCTTATCTAACTTATGGACGAGCTCAGTTAAAACATTTGTGTTTCCCTCGATGTACAGTAGTGGCCAGAACTTTATGAACATACGGTTTTTTCATGATTTCCCTTTCAGAAATCATTGCAACGTCTCCAAATTTGCAACAATTATTAAATACCTCTTTTATGATCCACACAGAAAATTTCAAGCTTTAGCTCAAATTTGGGTTTAGAAAATTTGAGATTTTTCGAAATTAATGAAGGCAGATGAAAGATCACTTGATTCGTTTATTTTATTTAAATAATGTATAACCCAACAGAACAGTCAAGTAAACAGTCGCTAACATTAAGCAAGTCTAGCACATTGCCCGGAACTCTCTAAAGTATTGGATTCATAAACTGGATTTGAATGCGGGGTCAACTAATGAACTCGCTCTTTAGTGGGGTCTACCTCTCCGTAGTCTCGTCTTTTCGTGGCTCTTTCACTGAGATACGCATCTGTAGGTCCTCCCCTAGTGGTTATGTAATGTTTGGCTCAGGAGTCTGGCCTGGCTGGTTTTTAAAAGCACCCGATGCTGTCGAAACCACTCTTGCATGTGAGAGGCTCGATGCTTTGAGTCGCTGCTCTGCTGACAGACAAAGCCAGGTCGTGTGGCAGCCATGTCCACAGATACATAGCATCTTCTAGAATCTAAGTCTATACTAAGTATTCCTTAGTTCTCAAATCTAAGAAGAGCGCTCGCTGTGAAGTGGGTGGGAGTAGAATGTGATTGACTAAGTCTGAAAAGAAGGTTGACACAGGTTTCTAAGGTCATCTGGAATGACAAAAACATATCACTGATGCATGACAGCAAGGATACTAGTATTGTACGGCACCACGAGAGGGAACGTTTTGATCCAAAGAAACAGCTGCCAATTGTGAAACTTGGCGGAGGCTTGATACGGTTCCCTTTGAAAAAAGTGAGACCACGCTACACGACTGAGCTAGCGATGAAGGCAGACGTTTGCTGTCATAATTTGGAAGGTGTCATGAATGCGTAGACATGGCTGCCACACGACCTGGCTTTGTCTGTCAGCAGAGCAGCGACATTAAGCATCGAGCCTCTCACATGCAAGAGTGGTTTCGACAGCATGGGGTGCTTTAAAAGACCAGCCAGGCCAGACTCCTGAGCCAAACATTACAGAACCACTAGGGGAGGCCCTACAAATTCGTATGTCGATGAAAGAACCACGAAAAGGCGGGACTATAGAGAGAG